CTTTGAAGGAGAAAGAATCTCTCAAGGCTACAACAAAAATAAGACAAACAAACTTTTAATATTCTCGTTATTAATCATAAAGACTTTTTCCTTTGTTGCCACTTCTCATGTTAGTAAATTTACAAAGAAACTCTGATTCAAAGAAAATGAATATATATTTTTATTACATAGAAATAATTTTAAAATTAATGTTCTTTCTAATCATCATTCATCTTGTTCATATATATATTTTTTAATATTGTGAGCTGTTACCTGTTCTAGATACACACGTACAAATCGTTTTATGATGTCATCTAAATCGTCTTTCGTAACATGTAGTTTCTATATATTGAATTTTATAGATGTCTCTAAGGCTTTGGGTGATAGACTATTCTGTAGTTTTGCTTTAACTCGTTGTAGTGCACTAAAACTTCTTTCGTGTTTATTATATCAAATAGAAATATGACCTGATTCAATCACTCTTTAAAAAATTGCAAACAAAACATCGCTTTTACATAGTTAGTCTGTACTAAAGAAAGGTTAAAAACGTTGCTTATTCATAGCAAAAGGTTTCTTGAGAGAAAGACGTAATACAATAAAAAATTTACGAGATGAATATCATCTTGTGTTTGTTTTTTAATTGTACGGCCTAATTACACGAATCTTTTCAGAATTTTTCTTATGGAAAAATTCTTCAGAAAAAAAAACCGCGAAAGTCAGACCATTTATGCATCTTTTACAAATCGGTTGAAACCGCGGTTTGTAATATCGCGGTGAGAACAGAAAAAACGCAGTTAGTCCTACAAAAACTCAGCTCGGGCCGTGGTTTTCTCGGTTCTCACCGCAGTATTTGCAAACCTCGGTTTTCGCCGGTTTCAAAAACCGCATAAACGGTCTGACTTTCGCGGTTTATGAAACCATGGTTTTTTCTTGAAAAATTTTTCCGTGGGTTATCTAAATTATGAGTATTATCTGTAAGAGAAATCTGATAATCGAGTTGTTTCATACGAACTTATAACAGTGATTAGTTCAGTTATTTTTTGAATTTGTTTTAGGCTTACATCAACAAAAAATATACATTCATCAGATACTATTGATTTGAATCAATCTGACGAAGGTTTGAACAACAATCTATAAATATCATTCATGAAATGATAATTTATATTTTCTACATAGATAATCCATCAATTCATTCTGATGATGAAGAATTAATAGAAAATGAACCTATTCGTGTAGGTCGTTCGATTAGAAAAGATAATCAAGCATATCCAATAATTCGTTCATCAAGTCTTTATTCTCAATCTCGTCAACAAATAAATAATAATACTCGATCAACAAATAGTGTTTCATTTATGTCAGATCGATTAAAAACTAATGGTCAATCAAATACTACTGAATCAAATATAAATACATCATCAGATAAATTAAAAAAAATACTTGATCGTCTTTCATTAGAATTAAATGATTTAGAATCAATGACAGGTTTCAAATCAAATATAAATGTTCTATCATCACATACATGTAGTACAGCACTTGCTACAGCACTTATTACTCTTACAGGTCATATTAAACAAGTAAATAAAATTTTTTTTTTTCTATAAATTTATTTAAATTATTCTTATTTTTATTTTATATATATATATATTTAAGTGTGCTTCAAATTTTAAAGAAATTCAAAACATAAATCATTTTAAAGATCAACTTTCAATTGTTATTAAAAGTCAATTAGATTTTCAAAAGAAGATTGAAAATCAAATGATAACATTACAAACTATGATGCAAACTATATGTCAACTTGTTAATAATGAAATTATATCAAATAAAAAATATGAAGAAAAATTTTCATTAAAAAAAATTCATCAAGATGAAACACATATTGATGGAATTGAATCACATCAAAATTGGTTAAATAATGCTCAAAGACAATATTTAATACCAAAAGATATAAATAATGCAATGAATGAATTACTTATGTTGACTCGACGAATAAATGGTGGTGAGATTATATTTAAAAATATTTGAACATATTAACAGATCAAAACAAAGAAATTATTTAAAAAGAAAAACGCTTTTCGACTAGATTTATGTTTACGAATACGATCGGAAAAAAAAATTTAGTTTCTTACATTTCTACTCTTAACATATTGATGATTTATTAGATAATAATGAGTTATTGTATCATGACATATTATAAAAATCTTAGTAGTATAATTGAATATATCAATGGATAGTCAGCTTTAGAAACCCAAAAGTTCTCAGATAATTTTTTCGTCTATCAAGCTTTACCGAACCATCTCCGTTGATCATTTTAAGACAAAGAAATTTTAAATTTCAAAAATAAATGATAATTCAAGAATCAAAATACTAACAAACATCATTACTTCAGCGAAGATAGCTTTTCAAAGTGTGAAAAACAAAATATTCTTTATAGTCGTGTAAGATTTGCATCATATGTCGTATATTCACGGCTCGTACGTTTTAAAAGTTTATACAAAAATTATTATATGTAAAAGTCACTTCAATATTTGTTGTGACAATGTTGATAGTACAAATGAAATCTTCTTTTTTTTCGTAAACAAAAGTGTTGTCGAACACATACATGTGTAGAATAGACGAAACATTAGTGAACTAAATAACATCATGAATATCCAAGAGGAAACACATTAGAGATCATGCAAGATACTACTAGAAAATAATATCGTATTTTTCGCTAGTATATGTATTAGTAAGTACGAAGGCAGAATTAAAGATGATTGATCATCTTGATCACTAGTTGAGAGCTTTTGGTTTTTATGATTGACTACTAACTATAGTTTGCCATTTCAAGTCGTTCTAAAAACCATCAATAGAAAATTTCTAGAATCGAAACTAATGGGCGCTATCCATGGGTAATATCATCACGAATATATTAATCTACTACTGACATTTCCTATGGTCTCACAATATTTCAGTATCTTTTAGTCCGGCATAAGATTAATATTTTATTTTATTTCAGCTACACCGATAGATACCGATTTGTATCATCAACATACAAATAATTCTTCAATAAATCGTCATTCAGGTTATATGGAAACATTAGATGCATCAAAAAGATTAACACGATCAACATCATCTATTCTTGCAAACGAAACAAATGCTAATGAATTTTCAAAACAAATTCAACAACATAAAAATATTGATCAAGAATCACGTTCATCAATGATTAGTCCTATTGATGCACCATTATCATATGATATGTTTGAATCAGGTCTTTCAAATGGCAATTTATCGGCTAGTCGACTTCGAAATGGACTTGATGGAACTTCAACAAGTGTACCATCTGCTTCAATAGTATGTTGTTAACATTATATATTCGTATAAATGAAAATATTCTGTTATACAAATTAGATTATTATCATGTTCTTTGTTGTCTTTTTTTTTCGTCTAGAATGAAACAATATTAGAAAAAATTCTTCGTGAACGTCTTCGTCTAGTTCAACAAATGGCTGAATTAAATAAACAACATGAAATGACTCAAGAAGAATTAGCTAATCTTGAAGCAAAAAGTCTACAATCACAAACAATAGAAATCAAAAAATAACATAAAAAAAAAAAATTCGTAGAAATTTTCTTCTTTGTATTTTAACAATTAGTTCGATAGTGGGTATTCTTCTTATAACTTGATATGTGTGTGAATAATGTAGATAGAAATAATGATGTAGAATGTTTGTTTGTTTTTTTTTAATATTTGCTCATTATTTATTGTTTTTTTTTTTTTGTTCTTCTTGTGTATAGTAGAAAAACAAAACCATGCATGCTATTTAGAAAAATTATTTGTAGTAATTAGAAAAAAAAAATCAATTGATTGAAAAGAAAAAATATCAAGTGTTGATTTTAATCTGTTTTTTTTTGTCCTAATAAATTCTTTTAGTAAATTTATGATTACTACTACTTAAACGAAATCAATATTACATACAAAAATATGATCTAGACAAAAAGATAGATAAACTATTTTACTGATATCAATATTTAAAAATTACAAAACGAGTACACATAACTAAAGAATGTCACATTAGTTCTTAGCATCAACGAAAATTAGTTTATGTGTAAACATAAAATGATCTCTCTCAACTATATCAATATTTGAATGACATTATTTCTTTTATTAATGGTGATGAAAATAGAAGAAATATGATAATTAGGGTGTGGGTACATAGTTCATTAAAACTTCTGAATTATTCATATCACTCTAATTTAAAAGAGATAATATCATTGAATCATATGCTATTTAAAATATCATTCTAAGTACTCAAAGTTTATAATGATATAGTTAGATAGAGATCATTGACAAATTGTCTTTGATTTTGATCTGTCTCAATTTTGTATATTGATAATAATCAAAGTAGTTGATTCTGTATACAATTCTTTTAATCCATGTATTATATTTGTGCACTTCACAAAGCATAATAATCAACTAACGCCGTTCATCATTGAATTTGTACTTGTACAATGGTAATATTAATAAATTCTATAAATTGAAGAGTGATATAATCTATTACAATCTGAGAAATTAATCTGATTGGTTTCTTTTTACTCTTTACTAATATATTTTAGAATACAATTGTGTTGACAACAAATTTATATATAACATATATATGTTCATTTCCGAGGCTGGATGTCATATTTTATTAATCTTTTTTTTTGTCTTTTATATTTAGAATTGATATGATTTAATTATTTCTATTTCTAAAAACATTGCATGCTATTCAAACATCATTCGTACTAATTAGAAAAGAGAGGAGTAAAATATGTCGACTTATATATTAAATCTTCGAATACGGACTAAAACTTCTTTTTTTTTGTTCTTCTTTTTCTCTAATGAATTCTATTGTAAAATTAGGTTGAGACCGTCCAATAAGCACTGTATTTTCTCACCACTATTCCTATTACCAATGAGATTTTATCTCTCTCTTACTTTGATTACTTGCAATTTAGTATGGAAATATATTTCACTTGATTAAAATATAAACAATAAGAAAAGAATGAGTACAACAATGAAGAGTAGTTTTTTTATTGATAATCTTCTTTCAGCTTTTAAACGACCTAGTTTAACAACAAAACAATCTTCTTTGATATCACCATCAGTATCACTTAATTTTTATCAATCAATTAATCAATATACATCGAAAAAATTAGAATTACATCCATTTGTTTATCCTAGTATGTAGACATACTTATCAGACTTTCTTTTTTTTTTTTTAGTTTTTTTTTTCGCATGTCTATTTACAATGACAATATTATCGTTGACATAACTAATGAGAATCTTTTCTAATCGGCTCAACATCTTTATCAAATATGTCTTTCTCTAGTTTTGTATGTGATTAGTGATCTACTCATAAATTAATTATTTCAGTGAAACGAAAAGTCATGTACTTATTACAAATAAAGGAAACCATCTGTTTACACAATCTTTATTTGATCATTTATGAATATGTTTTATTTGTAATTTAGGTTTTAATTTTCATACTTATTTAAATAATGAATATTTATTAAAACATTGTCGTCGACGAAAAGCTCGAACAGTATTTACTGATCAACAATTGAATGAACTTGAAAAGAGATTTGCTGAACAAAAATATTTAAGTACACCAGAACGTTTTGAATTGGCTAATGAACTCAATTTATCCGAAGCACAGGTAAAAAAAAAAAGAAAACTTAGCTTTTCTAATCATTTATCGATGGTCAGTGATGTTTTTTTTTTTTATTTCTCATCTTTAGGTTAAAACATGGTATGTACTAACTAGTTTGTATTGATATTTTTGAAAAAATATATGCATTCTAGGTTTCAAAATCGTCGTATGAAATATAAAAAACAAGTACGTCGACAAGTACAAAATACATCGGATAGTTCATCATCAGATGATGCTGATGAATAGAATGATATTGATGTTGTCAGTAGCGATGGATGTTACAGTAATAGTTCTTTTTTGAAATAAAACTTAACTATTATCATTATGATTGTCACGTTCATTTTTTTTTCTTTTTGCTCAATATAATCAGCAGAAGAATGTAACAAATAGAAACAATGCAAATAAAGGAAGATGAAGGAATTAAGAATAAGACTAGACACTTGAAATATATATCACTCATCACAAGATATTCATTTGATGTGAAGTATTTAGGAAGGCAATAAAAGTAAATTAATGGTGTTTTGTAAGGCATCAAATAAATTCATTTTTCCATGGTCGAATTGTGTAAATCTATTCAATCCGTGGCTAGATTCTAGATGATACGGCCTTAGGTAATACTAAGGAATCATAAAAATTAGTATTTGATTAGATACTGTTCTTTTTTCTTTTTTTACTTACTAGGCATTCGCATCGACAGTTATCATTATTTTTGTTGCGATGATTGTGAGAGCGGAGAGACAGAAAATACGCAAAAAGACGATCTTGAATTGTCTTATACAAGTATCGAAGATGTTAGAAGTTGTTTTAGCAGCCTAGATTTATAGAGAATCTTTTTCCGTCGAAAAATCTTGTATTTGAAATCGAAACTGATTATATCTTTTACGTTATTTACCTTTGTTACGCTATAAATAGCAGGCGTAAAAAAAACTTATTACAGTTTCAACAATAGAGTGATTATGTATCTCACCGAACAATTATCTATGATTTGCAAATATACATAGGAGACGAGTAAAACAATTTTTTAACATGGAACTTGAGGGTGAAATGGAAAATTTAATACAATTAGCCCAGTTCTTGCTAATGATATATTAAATAATAAAATAAACTAAACGTTATATGAATCGCGTAGAGCACAAGTTATTCTATTGAATTATATTATAAAGAAAATTTCGACTCCGAATAGGCGTGTCACCCATTTGAAAACATTTCTGATTGAATACTTCTTGAAGAATGAATGATGGCATGATACATTATGTCGTCAATAAAAACTAAATATATCCTCATATAGGCTTTGATGTATACACAAAAGAATATAAAATTGTCTACTAGTTGAATAATTTTGACAAGTACTGCATAACACTGATAGTTCATCAATGCTGGATATTTTTATAATTTGTGAATTGTCGCTTCGACCATAAATCACATATTGTACTACATGGATCATTTTATTTGTTAGAAAATTGACTTCGCAAAATGAAAGCATTTCCATCTCGAAATGATAAGCTTTACTAGAACTAATTCTTATATATATTCCATTTATGTTAAATTACTCTAGACAACCTAAAAAAATCAACATTAGAGAGTTTTGCTGAGGGAAATAATCAGGAAAAAACAAGTGTTAGTAGCGTAACAGAAAAAAAAATAACATTGACTGCTACTTCAAATGATGGTAAGACAAAAGCTTCCGCTTCAGGATTTGATAGGATCTCTAGAAAACTGGTTTTCAGAGGAATCTTTGTTGAATCTTGTCTTGCTAGAAATTTCATTATAGATTCAGATCATGACGTAGAATCTATCCTGAATTTTTCGAACTCTTTTCTTGTATTATTAGAGAGATATTTCCTAACTACCTTTTAATTAATTAATTAATTTTCATTTGATCGTTAGTTAGCAGAGCCAATATTTTTCGATATGTCAATGCTAAAAACAATTATTCAGAAAAATAATCCTTACAAAAGCGTCAAAGTGAAATAGCAGAGGGTGGGATGTCCTGTTTTCCCTGAAATAGCCGATATATTGATGATGTATAAGCATTACGATAATATTAAAACGGAAAAAATATTTGATAAGTAAGAGAGATTAACGAAGCCATAAAAAAATATATAGAATGATCAGTACTAAATTTATCAGTACCTGACAATAAAATCATCAGTTTATTAGATACTAGTAGCAATAAAAAATTATTATTTATTTCAGTCACAAATACAAATTTGATATGTATACAATAGAGATTTCATCAGTAGTAAAACAAGTTTAGATAGTCTTAATTAACATAGAGTGAGAAAAATAAATTTGAATAAATAAGAAAAAATTCGAAGGGTGTGGGTGTGAGCTGGGTGCGAGTGTAGGGTGCAGGTTGCAGCTGGTCTCTCCTTGATATACACTCGCAGCGTATAATTCACATACGTCAGCTAGACTATAGCTAACCTCGCTACATGCGAACACACACACATCCGTATTAGCTCGGTGATCTATTCACTTCACTAACAGTCTTTCTTTTTGATTCAAGATTGAGCTGCCCAAAGAGGAATAGATGGACGGGTCGCACGCAAAATCAGCCAACAAGTTGTGAAGTGTTTAAAATATTATTTTATTGGTGAAATAAAGTACTGTATAAAATAAAACAAAACGAATTTTCATGAATGTCTCAATCAAAAATAAAAAAAAAGTTTTCGTCGTTATTATATTATTGAGTTCTTGTTGCTTGTCGATGGACATGAAATAATATTTCAAAGTTCATCGCAAAAAATTTAAAAAATAGATTTATATGAGCTTCGCTGCCCATTGAACGGAATTGATCATCATCGTTAAAATATTGGCATCATTTCCCCAGTTAAAAGTGGCTCCCGTAGAGTAATGACTCGCATGAGCAATCTGTACTATGCGTCCCTTGACTGCAGTACAAGGGCTGACAACCACACCAGGCCCACTGCATATCGTAGAAGTGGCTATCGCTGTACTTCCACTTGTCAGTGTACCTAATGAACTGCAGCCAATAGTTACTGACATCGTAAAAGTGGTTGCAAGACCATTCCATATTGGATGCCCGCTGGAGGTAAGTGTAAATGACATAGCTCCAACATATCCCGATACTCTTGGTGCCAAAATTAATGAGGATAATGTAGCCCATCTCCCAGTCTGCACCTGATATGCAGCCCACTCAGTGAGGACTACACCAGTTCCGTTATTTTGCTGAGCATTCAAAATCGATTGTTGTCCGGTAGTCGGCATATCTGTTGCATACGAATCACCTGTCATTAAAATTACTACGCCGTAAGTTGCTGCATTCGGAGTACCACTGTACGTTGTGATTCCGCCTGAAATATAATTAATTGTTAATCCAGCACTTTGTAATGAATCTACCAATGTTTGAACGGTTGCAGTGTTTGTAGTGGAGAGCAGTAGTACTGTTTGGCTTGAAGAACCACAGCCTATGAAGATCAAAAAACTTTCACTAAAGAATGCCACGTTCTTGAAAAAAAACCTAAGGAGTGCTCAAGCTTCGTCGATTACAACTCAAAGAACTGTACATCCATTATGACTCATTTCGGATCATTTGATATTCCACTGACTTAACGGATTACATGATAGGTTTTCGCTTTAAAACTGCTGAATATAAAGTGAGTATACAAGCTTTTTTTTGTTTCCGTTAACGCAAATAATCAGAAAACAAATACTACTTACTTTCAGTGGTTGCTGAATAGTCATAGTAGATATAAAATAGAAAAAAATTGCTCTTCTATATGTTAAAACAGTTGGTAGTATTACTTACTTGTTGTAGTTGTTGTCGCTAAAATTAAAGGATATAAGTTAGAGAGTATATGTAGAATTTTGAGAAATACGGATGGATGTAATAATTTGTCGTACAACATATCGGATCAATAGGTTTCCATGAACTTTTTCTTTAGTATATTACATTTTCCTGCTTAATCGAATAGTAACATGGTTAAACGTTCTAGTATGACTCTATAGCTTGTGTGCAAGAGAAATAGTTTTCCTCATCAGTTAGAGTGGAGTACATATATATCAATGCAAAATTATACCATGTGGCATTGATGATTTTGTGAATATCCTAGCACAATTAGATTATGTCGACCTTAACCCAGTGGGATCGTTTGTGATAATTACTTCCAAGGATACTGCCATGACTGAGTTACCAGTTTCTTCGAAGTGTAGTCTAAAATTACCGCACTCAAATCCTTGTACCACCAATTATAGAATGACTCTGAACCGGTTATTAGTCAGAGTTTGCTGTAGATAGTCTGTTCAATGTATTTTCATAGCGCTATAGCATACGGCCTAGTTCTCTTATCTGGTTTGTTAGTAGTCAATATGTTTCAGAAGCTCGAGCCATTGAACGAAAAAACTTTGTTCTAGGCTTCTCTCCTACAAGAAGGGACGTTTACTCATCACTTGCGGGAATATATCAGGGTATTGAAGTAGTCATCAGGGATCACCTGGCACAAAACGCTGGAGATATTCTTCTTTCCAGTCCTAAATACTCACATCAGATTCGTTTTAGTTTTCACTACCGAAGCGCTACGAAGTCTTTTCTATTTCACCCTAACGAGACAACGTAGTTGTTGTCTTTTTTTGCTGCGCTTGTTATTAGCATAGGCTCTTTCTTTAATCTGACCTGTCCACACCCACATAGTGTTCTGCAAGTGAGTGAAGGTGACAGTAGTATTAGGTGCGTGAGTAAATAGGTAAAAATCCGCATTCCAAATTCCATCAATCCATCCACCTAGCATTCTGTAATGAAAGCTGAAAAACTAAGTTAAAATCAAATTGCCATAGTGGAGATATATATGATTTCTAAACTAAATATTGCATCTAAGTCGACGGAACTAAGACTTTTTGTCAATATATTTACATATACATGCGGTACCGTTACTCGCTGTGCAACAATCGTCCCGAGTATGGTTGGCCTATTTTCATATCTGAGAAAGACATTTATAGTCACCGTAAAAAAATTGTGTACACGGGAAAACAAGTGTACACACATTTTATCGGGCTTGCTGGTCAAAGAAAAAAAATTTGAATGCGACAAAATCGATAGAAGTCAGACTATCGAATATTACGAGATATGACTATTGGATATAGCTAAAAGTTGAGAATCGAAATATGCAAAAAAAAAAGATTTTCGATTCACCGTGTTTTGATCGAACTTTCGTGGGTGACATTTAGCCGATTCTGTCATGGTATCAACTGGATATCGAACTCTTAGACCCCGGTTGTTGATATTC